AATAAGTTATTTCAAAAACATCCTGAGTAGTCAAAATCAAAATATTTCAATCAATAGTAACACTAGATTCCTCATTATCAAAGACTAGAGGGACAACGTCAAAGTAATGCAATTTTCCTTTAGCAATCCATCGCTGGTCGGTATGGTCTGCTGCTGCACGCTGAACCTTCTCTAAATGCCGTCCAATGGATTTTACTAGAAGCTTTCACAACAATTTTGAAATGCATTTAAACTCATTTGCAAAGCAGACAAGCTCCAATACCATCAAATTTAATCGACATCGTGCGATATAAGGATTCAGGACAAGAAAGTATTAGGAAGCATAAATAAAGAGTACCATACCAATGGCCTGATGCACATTTCAACTTCATAGCACAGGTGAAAAACCGCATTCTACAAGTAACAACAGGTCACTGGAGCAATCTATCCCGGAAGGCAGGCGAGCTCTTCTGGTCACCTGATAAATGACGCTTAATTCACACATCCGCACTAGAGAACCCTGATTAAGCAAACTCTCCCCTCCCTAGACAAGTGATTGTTACTGAAGGTGTTGCAACGGTTTTTATAACAAGTTGCCTTAGTCGTTGCCGTATTGTGTTTCTCACCAATGATTGACAAAATCAAGCAAAATTTCCTGTTCACGCATTTTCTCGGGCTATGACAAAAGTAGAGGAATGACATTCAATAAAATTACTTAACTGGTGGTTTTTTGACCTTCAATATAAATGTTTCGGAAGGTCTACCTATCGGCTGTGCACTATTTCGGTAGGCATTAGGTTTCATTCGGTAAGGGATTATGCGTGCTTAAACATCGTATTTAGGAGTAATTAGCTTTAATCCCATAAAATTGCCTTTATTTAGTTTTGCATGAAAAGAGCTGAAGATGCACACTACCTAACTTGTGGGCTGGTGGCATACTTAGAAGCTAAGAACTAAGTAGTAATTAGAGCCGAAATTCAGAGCCTTCAAAACGCCTTAGCTGTTTCGACTGATTTTATTAAAATTGGATTTACGTTACTATTATGGAAAAGTCGAAAATTACCCATCCAACTATAGCTGGAAATATTATTCACGGGTTTGTTGATCCCTTTAAATCCGTTAAGGCACCTTCCTTTAGGTATCATTAGTATGCTCAAAACCACTGCCCCTGGTGGACGGGTACGAAAAGAAACTATTCCACTTCTTTAAAAAATCCGATCTTAGGGCGAAATGGGCCGACTTATCAGCGATCGCTTACCCCACCTTGTGCATCAAGACTAAACCTTATGAACAAATCAGACAATAAATCGGAAACAACGTCGGTATTGCTAATGGTTGCTTCTAATATTAAAAACGGAATTTCAAATTACTGCGGACTTTCTCAGTTAACCAAAGCCGATGCGAAACCACATTAGGCGTAATTCCTGTTGACACTTTGAAAATCATTACCATAAGTAGTTTTTTAAGTTGGTAAATGAACACAAACTCACCATCGCTGATACATGTAGATGACAAAAACAACGTCATCCCGGAAGCACGCTACCCTATGTGCGGTTGGCATTTTGATGATGAATGCAAAGAAATCATCAATGAAAGTGTTGAAGGCCTGGGAAATAAGGAAATAAACTGCACCAAAAATAATCAAATTACTATCAGTGGATTGAACTTCACACATCTGATAATATGATACCTTAGTTCAAATGTAAATAGTCCCTCATGTAACATTTGTTATTCGATTTCAAGATATTTTTTGCGCAAAACAGCAAGAATAGGGGAACACGAGTCAGAGAGTAAAATTCACATGAATGAAAATGAATTCCAGTGATAATCATTCGATCAAAGATATTTTTTCAACGTTCCCTCATAAAATAACGCGTTTACAGAATACCTCTTGTAAAAAAAATAGGGTTTTTTGATATCTAATGTGTAATTATTGCTGTCAGTAATACGGAGTGTTATCCTTAGTAATATCGACAAATATTACAGATTGGCCCGTTTTGTGAATAACAACTAACACTCTCAATGACAAATACCTATTCTATCAAATAGAAATCATTAAAAATTATCGGGCGCACAATAAAACAGTTGGTCGTAAACGTACTTGTAGAGCAAAAATGGATCAGCAGATTTTATCAAATTTAGCTCAGTCAAGTTATCTATCATGAAGTCAAAAATGCGAATGCAATCCATGGGACGTTTTATCAGGTATAACTCACCCTATCTCAAAATTATTTCATAACAGTAGCGCCGAGTCGCATTTCATACATCGTTTAAATAGTTTAGAAGACAAACCAAAATTTAGCAGATTTGCACCCAGAAAAATACAAACACGATTTAAAAAAGTGCCTTCAAATAAAAAGTGTAAATGAAAACGACTTTTGCCGACATTTACGCAAAGCCTTGGAGAAACATATTGTAAAAGTGGATTCAACCAATCTCAAAGATAGTGTCGCAAGTATAAGCATTTCAGCGGGAAAAAAATGGATAACACCCTTTCGCAATAAATTGTAAAAACTTCCTCCAGCTCAGGTAATCGTAACTATCAGAAAGGGAAGGTCAATCACTAGTTACGGTGTTTTAACGCAACGACAATCCGACAAATTACCTTGTAGGTAAGTGCACGCCATGGCAAATTGGCTACAGATTTGAGCTTGTAGTTGATAAATAATTGAGGAGTCATCAAAAGGAAACCGAATGCATAGACACCTAAGATACATTAAGAATAAACGATTACTCAACAAGGTATTTACTAAAGAATTGTAAGTAGCAAGGCTTACCATTTACAGCAGTCTGTAGAATCCACGACCGCCAGCTAAAATGGAAAATTTCAGGAGATTTTGGTAGGTAAGCATTTCTCCATTAAAGATAGGACAAAAAATAATGGAGACGGCTCAAAGGTTAACTGGTGTGACAAAAAATTAAGTGTTCATTCAGACACTAAACCAAATGCAGAGAAAAATCTCCCAAGTAGGAATCATTTCACAATTTCTTGTGTGAATTAACACTTTTTTGAGTAATTCCACTTGATTGCCACTTTTAAAATTTCGTGTTGGGATGGAAAAGACAAGTACTGAACGCCAGATCTCCAGCTACCCTTCACAAATGCATCAGTCACTAAAAATTAATCCTTATTTGATAAAACTGCAGGGTGCCTCATTTACATTTATTGGCATATGTATGGTAGAGAGGGAGCGCTTTTAAAAAAAATTCTCCCCTCCTCCTCCCGCCACCTCTGCGGCTTCGTCTCCTTACCTTCGATGCGGCATGTAGAGGAGGGAGTAGACAGCACCGACGACACAGAGAGGCACCATAAAATACATTAAGCGCCACACAAAATATGCGTCCAACTCATCGGTCTCCTGCTCCTCTTTGCTGCGCTGACCCACAAAGACACCACCACGGAGACTGAAGGACACCTTGGTCATGCGGCAGAGCTTCCAAAACTCAATGACCATTGAAATGCCCGAGGGGACTACCACGAGTAAGCTGCTCTTCTCTTCGTATAGGTAAAGGAATATTATGCTCGTGCTAATGCACCGCCAGACAACTGCAAAGATGTTGAGGTAGAATTTGCATATCATTCAGAGTAAACATTGCATTAAGGAAACAGACTAGTGATTCTATGAGCTCAGTAAGAAAAGAATAAGAACGACTGCGTCATTTCACAGAAAGCGTCCTAAACACCGACCGATAATCAGGATAAATCTCGGACTTATGAAGTCACATTATGCTGGATAATATTAACAGTCGTACGTTTTCTGCTTAAAAATACAGTCCATTTTTAAAATTGGAATCGTAAAACGGTTTTAAAATATGAAAATAAAATATGCGTTAGAATACAGCTGGCTACGAGTGATGAAAGCATAAGGATGAATAAAAGGGCATCAATGTACTTGTACGAATAGATATGCCAGTCGTGTTTTCGGCGTTTCTCCAAAACTGTACATCATTTTTGAATGCGAGGAAGTCGAAAAATAACTATAATGACATACATCAGTTAAAAAAGGGAAAAAAGCACTAGGAGCTAATTATCGTCCACTTACGTGAAACACTGATACAACTACCGTAGTCAATAAGAGATAAAGATTAGTTTCAGTAAAAATACCCTGTATATCATCTATATCTTTATCCTTGATACCTAAAATGATATTTGAGGGCTATCAATCTAATTAAATAAAACAGACCCATGACTTTCAGTTGTTTTGCTGCCTGTGCAAGCATGCATCTAAGGCGAAATCTTCCTATCGAAAGAGGGATGACTTCAATCGTAAAATTGAGCCTTTTTGTGGGATTTTCGGGCAATTCCAGCCAGTAATATGTCGGCTGCAATTGTGGATCTACGAGGAAGAGAGGAAGATATAGGAGTTCCGATTTTTTCCGAAACACGTAGAAATATGGCATCAGTTCGTGTGGAACAGCATTCATCGGAAATGCAACAGTATCCTTCAAAATGTATACTTCCAGGTGGGATAACCAATGAGCCGTAGGCCTAAATGTCCCCGATACGCTGCTTTTCTAAAAAACGAGAATATTTTCATCGAAGCAAAGGGGTGAGAGCTTAAATTTAGGGGCATCCTCAAGATGGCCAAAAACAACAACTTCTGTCAGCGCCTACCTGAGGAGACAGCAAGTTACGAGATTTTGGGGAAGGTTCCCGATGGGTGGTAATCATAACATCTCCCGTAAATAAGCTGTCGTTTTTGTGGGTTCGAACTTGAACGTTACAGGTAGCAGTACCATTTTTGAAAATGGTGGTTGGAACCTCGACTTCACCAGTCCTAAACAGTTACACGCACTAAAGAGAGATACCATTTCACACCTTGATGACTATCGAATGGCGGAATAGCGAATTTATGAGAGGAGATGCATCCTTTGCCTTCGGAGAAGCAACCTTCAATCTTACAAGAACTGGATAATGCCGACATTTAACCTACGATTATTATCTCATTGCCAGGATAGGCAGGGAAAACGCACGATTTCGTGTCAATACAAGTGGATGGTGAAAACATCTCATAAAAGGTATACACATTGTAGACTATGTATCCAATAACCGCTACAAACAAAGTCTTGTCCAAAAATTTTCCAACCATTGTGGAAGTTTTAATGAAACAATTTGGCAAATCGTGTAAATTTGCAAGGTTTCTGACACGTATGATAAGCTTCTCAGAAGGGGCGGTTTTGGGAAGAGGGTATTTCAATAAATAAACCCAAGGAAATATTTAAGGCTTACATTAATAGGTCTTTTAGTTATATTATAACACAAATATTTTATTCTGCAGATCCATCTCAAGTTCACCTCGAAAAGCAAGTATTAGCTACATCGAATACCTTCCCTCCTAGGGAGCAAAAAATTGTTTGAATAAGTTTGGCTCCGTATAAGCACCGTTTGCACTATTACAGCTCCTCTGTATTTAGTCACTCCTAAATATACGCAAACCAGTCTTGTTACTTTGAATTATTTTGTAGCGCAACCACAATGTAATGAGCGCCGCATTTCTGCATATATGCAGTAGCCTCTTATGCATACTCGCTGTGGTTATCAGTGTTGCCAATCGTACTATATTTGGGTTGGATTATTGCGAATCAAAGTTCCAGCTACATGTACCCAAGATCCAAAAAATAATTTATTGTAGGTGCCCAAGTCTTCCCTGATCCCATGAACGAAACGGCTATTATCACTATGTAGAAGGCCTAGGGAACTGTGGGCATGGTAATTTAATCATGTTGCCAAGGCAGTAGTTTAGAACCTCAGTTACAGCACCTTCCTTTTCCTTCTTTGGGCGCCGACCGCAGAGTCCCCACGGTCAATTTTCTGCTTCAGTTGCAGTCTCTGTGTGAACTGCAACCAACCATGAGACGAGATGGAAGGCCACAAGAAGAAATTGCATCATAGGAGGGATGCTACTCACTAGTAGCACACGCTGTAGACCAGATGGGAAATCCCAAATGTCACATCTGCTGCAATGCGAACTCCCTCAATTGAGAGCCCATTTACGATAGTGCCAGATTCTGAGAAATATTCTACAACGAAGATATCTATAAGTCTATTGCTCCTCAGAGCAGCAGTTGTCGAAATGAAGGTCAAAAAGGGAACCCATACTTCTAGGCTATGCCAAATTATTTCATCCACGAAACTATGGTAAGCCTTTCTCCCTGAGCAACTCGTATTTCTTGAAACCTGATATTGATCATTTGACCACTACTGTACAATACCCAAAATTAGCGATTTCCCGAAACTAGGCACCCGAGCATCCACAAGTTTTGGTATCTGTAGCCGACGCCTTCCTTGTACGGCCAATTATCTAAATAACAGGATAGTCACCTTTTTAGGCCAGAATCACCCAACACTGCCCCAGAGCAGCTAATGGACCACGCTGCCAAGCAAAGTGCGAAATAGAGTTTACGTAGCCAAGTGTACACTCAAAAGGGAGTGAATCCCAAGAGTACACTATTGACTTCCACTCAAACTTGATGCATTTACTACTTTACAGAGGTGGCAACTCCAAGCCACCTCTTCAGCAGCCGAACACCCGCATGCGGTTCCTGAATTCTCTAACGCAACAACCTGCGTTCGCTCAGCTCCACCAATTACCCATCCCCTATAGCCCACAGTTGCTACTATTTAAATACGCGCAGCAGCGCACAAACATTGATTTAGCCCATATCTATCTATGGACAGGACCACAAGCCAACCAGACACAAGTACATTAATCCAAGTAGACTTTATCCTCTTATAATGCAACTCCACACTAGCCAAAAAATTATTTGAAACACATTTAGTCCATATTTCTAGATTAGTTCTCCGCGATAAGCACGTATTTCAACGAAGCACGATCTGGATAAGATTTACGTACTCTGGATCAAACAGCCAAATTGAAACCCATAACCACATAAATTTCCTATGCATGAGTGAGAAAGTAAACTTCTAGTGTGAATTGAAGGATGGGTCCTGTAGAAGGTTAATGGCCTCGTAAACATCCCCATGTGCCACTGTCAATGCAAGGTGGGATCGTTCCTCAGGGAAACCCATATCAACGAGATTTTGAACCTAAAATTTGGAACAACAAATAGACTTACATATTGACGTTCGAAAATCCCATGATAAAACTAATTAAACCATTATGATGATTATGATGGCAAAAAGGAACTACTTTTGAAAAGACAGAGCTCCAAAGCCTAAAGTACTCGTTTAAGCCCTAGGGTAAATCGTAATTCAAGCCCAGCTGCATAAAAATGGTGGTAATCATCATTCAGACAATACCTCATGGGGCTGTGGAGCGTAGTTCCGCCGTCTATTACTCTAAAGGAAAATAAGACAATACGTTGGCTAATAACAAACGCATAAAATAAACCGAACAATGAATCCAAATTTACAGTCGGAAGGACATTCGTGTCAAAGGGTAACTTGGAGGGGCGGTTTTGTATAACAGGAATTAAAGTAGGAAACTGCCTTAAAGCACTCAGACAAGAATTTTAACCTATAATAGATGATACACTTAAAAAGAGGCATAAGCTGATTATGCCGAAATTGTAGATGGGAAGGGGTCGCAAATCCATTTCAGAATCAGCAAAGATTCGTGAGGAGTTTGCACAAATGAATATTTCTACTGTATAATAATATGGAGAGGCTAACTGGGATTAAAGAGAATTATTCGGTGAAATATTTAGCTTAAATCCATATTTACTATGGTTAAACGCTCACGTAGGCAAGTTGTGTCCGTCTCAAATCCATTAGGGCCTGTTCCTGTCTATCAAGGGCCCCTTGCCTTTGAAGGTCTAGAGTAGCACCAATATAATTTAAGGCATCGTCGGGTACTTCACTAGATAGGAGTGGTCCGATCAATCGATTGAAAATCTCAGCAATCCCAAAAGGGATTAAATTAATCTTTTGTAAGTTCTTCCATTGGTAAACAAGGCCAGCCAGCTGAAAGTAAGTTAAGCCAACATAGAACAAATCAATCATTTAAACTTAAAAACAAAGGAAATTGGTACACAGTAAACTGTTTCAGGTATCCAGCACTACATTTTTAAGGCAAAGCCAGAACTGATTTCCTTTAAATAGACATCTCACTCCATACCTCGCAAAGAATCATAATAGAAAAGTCGAAAATTGTGCATAAACGACGGTGCTCTGTTGTAGACCTCGCTGCATTATCAAACCTCTGCTCGCAAATGATATGAACTAGATATACTTGAGATGGACTTACTAAACCACAACCGCATACAATCAAGGAACCGAGTGATGAAGTTGCTAACTAAATGCTCATGATTAATTAAGATTCACTTGATAAAATACCCGTAGACCAATGAGATAAAGAAATGACTTCCTTGATATCGGTAATCCAGCAACAGTCATCACAAGCAAGTTCGGGATCTCAGTAAAATAAGGAATAAAATAAGGAAAAATTAAGCAAAACCTAAAGCAGGACGAATATACCCAGTTACACAAACTTACGGGCCCGATGGAAGAGTGTTTAGATTAATTCTGTAGAATGACAAGAGTTTGATGAATAGAAGTTCGAATGCCGTAGATAGAAGAGAAACCCACATAATCGACGTCTAGAAAGTCACTTCTAATGATATACTCGTTTTACTAAATATTTTCGGGAACCGTAACGTCGCTCAAAAATACGAAAATAGTATATGATTAGGCATCCAAGCAAAAAATCCGTCGGATCCATAAAAGCGGTTTTCGATAAAAACCACTGAATAAACTAGGGCAACCATTCGTAAGATTCATGTGACTTTACTCCATGCTTATTAAAAATAGCATTAGTATCGTATATGAATAGATTCCGATATGCGTCACCGGAAATGTGAACAAAGGCAGAAGTAGTGACGACTGCGAAAATAGAGCATTTAGAAACAGATGTCTTATCTAAAAGAAAGCATAAATCGAGGTCATATGAACAACAGTTAAATTATGCACCTATTAAACATCACAAACCAACTTATATTGAGTAAAATCGCGACATCGCCTGGACTATTTCTCGGATAAATCAAAGTACCCAACATCAGGAGAAAAAAACAGGCCTACGTACTACTGAACAGGAAAATCAGAAATGACTATCTACGTTTTGGGGGCAGCCTAACTAAATGTAAAGTAAAACAAAGGGAAACTGAAGAAATAACAACTACATACAGAAACCAGAGTAACTAAACGAGGGAAACATCTTTAAAGCAATCTTGAAAAGTGCGGATAACGGCGTCCAGTAAACATTCGAGAAGCAATAATCTGTACTTATATTTTTCCTTCGAGCAATATGCTTTCAAAAAGCGATTACACTCGTTTCCCCCAAATTCGTCGGCACAGATGGTCCAAACGATTTTTGCAAAAATTTTGTGAAGTTTGTCTATTATATCCAACCCCGCTAATATACGAGTTTGTCTAATAGCTAAAGCAAAAAAAAACATAGTATTAGTGACATTTTTGCCAGCTCCTACTAATTTTTTGGCTTTAAGATTGAGTTTGAGAATTCCTAACTGAAATCTGCAATGTTGAAATAACCGAGCCCAAACAACTCAAACTGAAACCCTTCTGTTTCTTATCATAGCGTAGTATGGTAAAAGTTGTCACATGTGCATTAATTTGCGTGAATTGAGAATTATGTGAAAGTGGCCGTTCTTAAATGCTAGGCCACTCAAAAAACTGTGCTGCTAAAATTTATTTTGTCAACACATCACTAATCCAATGTATACCCAATTTTTCCGCCACCATTCGGGTTCAATGCTATTTTTCCATATCAGTGGGAAAATACGGAAATAATATATTATTTTAAGTAGCTCCGATAGAAACTTGTCGAATTCTATGTAGATTAGCTAAAGTAGTATGATTACAGGTCTCAAGGAACAGGTTGTACTCACATGCTTTTCTAATCTAGTTGTGGTACTTTGATTGTTTAGCGCTACGTTTTGACTACGCAAGCACATGACGTTCCGCGATTACCTTTCCCTGGACGGCATGGTCTCCGAGTCACGCCACTAGCCCCTTGCTACTTTCGTACGTCGACAGTACTTTTCCCGCCCTAGTTATATGACCGGAGTCCAGGAGGCTACTTAGTCTCTCGTAGAGTATAACTCAGTAAACAAAAACTGGCAAAAGATCTAACTAAATAGAAAATTGGATCAGAGCATAAATAAGTTACTCATTTATTCCACGTAATAACTTGGCTTTTTAGTAAGGGAGTCTACTAAAATAAATTGACTAGGAGGGGTTAATAAAGGATATCTCTCTTTTAACTTTTGCTATCCTCTGCCTTTTGCCCTGGTTAACACTTCAATCACTCCGTAAGAATATTTAAAGCAAACAGTTGTGTAACTTTGCATTTGGCTGGCGCGTCATTGAGGCCCTTATCCCCCAGATTGAGACAATGATCAATCCCTTCAGAGCTTTTCGGTGGACGCCATACTCTGCTTCCCCATCGGAAAATAGAGGTTTGAACTGCAAACATATGTGGCTGTTCCTCATTTCAAGAACAATTTGGGTTCTCACTTTTGGGAATCCTAGGCCGTCAGGAAAACTTATTCTGCATATTTCTCCAATTTTCCCCCCGGTGAACAATATTCCACATCACTACCCCGCACGACAACTGGTCGCCAGTCTGTGTGCAAGACCTTCGTACCCGAATCCTCCAACCTACATTTACTACAGCGCCAAGTGGTACACAATTACTCAAGTTTATCACTCAAGGGCCCAAGTCGCTATCGCTGAGACGGATTCGAGCTCTCAAACGCACCCGTAGCGATAAAGAGCAGGCGCGATTAGTGTCAAACGACCGCTAATCAGCCAAGGACTTTCGTCAACTTGCTGCATAGGATATACTGATTTACTAAGTCGTGATACCACTTCGCGGTGATGTGCCTCAAACCCAAACTAACAACGCTTAGTTCACTTAACAACAGAACTAACTCATTGACGGAAAAACTTTAAACGACATCCACACGCGAGAGGCACAAGGAAACATGCGTGAGCGCACATCTTTGCTACTATATTGCAGTAAACTCAGAATCGAGTTTGAGTGGGTAGAATAAGGGAAGGCCAAGGAGCTGAAGCAGAGTTAGGGATTTCAGTAAGGCTTCCAAACAGTACGGATCATGAGGGCAAGGGAGACTAACAGATACATTTGAAAGCTGGCAAAAAGAACATACACGTGCATCGGAGAGGAACGAGTAATAGCGATAGCTACCGCAAACCCCTAACGAACACGACAGGGGCGAGAGACCAAGGCGGTAAGTGCTGCAAGCCGTTGCCAACGTTCACGTCCACATACTTATGCAGTACACAGATGGAGGTCTAGTAAAATAATACCGGAGGTGGTAAATCTGGAAGCAGGTATAAAAAGGAAACAGTGTAAGTCTACATTAGTGGGCACGAGGTGATGGCCTGAAACTGGCCATGCATAAGTGGAATTGAGCAAAGATGGAGAAAATTGCAGGTCTAAGTATATTGCAGAATCAGAATTAAGCAGAGGCAATAGCGAAATTGAGAGCTTGAAGTGGGTTGAGTGCGAGGAGCGGAATATGAAAACGTGGTCACAAAATGAACGCGCAAAGGAGTACCGTATGAAGAAACGTGGGGAACATTGTTTCCTATGCGATTTCACAGCACACTACGGTAGGTGAATTTTTTTCAAAAAAACCGCCAGGTTATCAAGAAAGAGCTGAACCGATTAGAGGGGGATCTCCTGGGTGCTCATTTTAGAAGTCGAATGCGTCTGTTCATTAATCCTTGAATGCGTATACGGACTCGTTGAACACTTCCGGAATGCGGTTGATTGTCACGATCCGATCAAAATTTCTGCTCCTTCAAATGCGGCTTTGCTTGAGCCACGTTTTTATTTAATGCGTAAGACTTCTTTTTCATGCTCTGGGATGGATGTGAATTTTTGGCACTTGATTGAGTTTGAACGTTAGAGCTCGACTCTTCCACTGATTTTGTCTGCTCCCCCGCCTGCGATGACTCCAACTTCTCCTCCTTTGACTTTGGTTCAGCTGCTACTGGAGCCGTGGGTATCGTCACCGTTTCGCACATTTTATTGACCACCTCAGGTTCAGACTCCGACGACGACTCCTTCGAGGAGCCACCCGCTGGCAGTCCCGAGAGGCGGTGGGTGGGCAACTCTGGGGTTAGGACGTGGGCACTGCCAGTAATTATTGTCTCCGATTGTGTTCTCCGACGACTGCCAGCCAAGAAAAAACCATCAGGCGGTTGGAACTAAAAAGGGAAAATAAGTCAACAGGCAATGTGTACCTACTATGAATACAAAGTAGCCGAAATCTGAATGGTAAACAATCCGGAAAGTCCCGGTAATTCGCAAAGAAAACATGCGGAAAAAAAAACAATATTGCAGGATCAAAGTAAGCGGACGCGATCGTAGTTCAAATGTCGACTAAGCTAAACGAATTAGATCATCTAAGTAACACTAGTGCCTTCTAAATGGCAGGTGGTATAGCCGCTGTTACCAAGTCTTTCCTAAACAGTATACAAAAATTGCAATTTTTATAAGCGCTGGGGCGGCATTTCTTTTTGTCTGATAAGATTCCAAACGGAGATAATGTAGAGAGCAAGTATATTTGTAAGAGAATACCAATACATGCTGAAATTAGAACTGACCCGACCAAATTAAGAACGCTGTACAATGACTCACGTTTACTCTAAAGTCCCCCAGAGTTTTGTACTTTTCGAGTATTTCACATAGCTTTGGGCTAACTTCGACGCAATTTTTGCTGTAGTGAAGATAAGCCCAAAATTTCTCCAAGCCATACAGATGCCGAGATTCATAATCCTTTAGAGTTTCCTCCTACAAAGCGAAAGGAGCAGAACCACTCAAAACTAAAAAATGAACTCACGAAAGTAAGCGAAATGCATTGCTTCAACGGCACGTAAAAACAAATTTTATCAATTACTTGGAAGTCATTAAAAAGATCCTGCCTGAAGCGCAACTCCAGGCCATAGCTGAAGAATCTGAAAAGGCACTCAATTCCGTAACGGGAGCCACATAAGGCATCCTCTGTAGAATAACGGCGAAATTCTTTGTACATTGTACGATTGAAGTTTACGCGTAGGAAGAAAGACCAAAATCGATAGAGTGTGTTCATTTCCTGTTAAGGGGAGAATGACTTCGGCTGCAAACACACAACATCAACTCAAAAATGTGACCAAGGTTAAAAACAGTAAAAAACGGTTACGGATACAGCTTATCAGGTTCAGTTACTATGCATTATCATTATTCAGCAGTTATATTAGAATCCCGATCTTAAATAGTACACGAAAAACTTTCAAGGTTTACTTTAGGATAGGACACGTTGGTAAATAAGTTGAGTAAACACGAGCAGAATAAAATCAAGATAAGTTTTTACAAATCCAGGAAAGGTACGTTTAAACACAAAAAAGTTTATCTTTCAATGAAATGTAAAATAAGAGTGCTAAAAAAGTGAAGAGTAGGTAAAGGCGAAAAAATTGATGAGATGACTGACTTGAGATCTGCCCCTTCCGTGTAATTCACGATCGCGAAGGCAAGCAGCACGAAACTTGTTGTAGCGGTGGAAGGTGAAGCCATGCTGACGCAAAAGTTGCTGACTTGGATGCTCGGTAAAGGGATCTCTAGTACCAGGTGATAAAGAGGTTTCAGGAGCTGCCGCCGAATCACTAAATTAGAAATGCAATTATCAACGTCCTCCCTCACCCCTGTAGGTTTGAGTTCATTTCGAAAATAAAAGTAACAGAAAATTACCACAAGCTCTTTTCAATAAGACAGCACCCTCCATTTGCAAAAATGACTTTATTGGGCGCACATTTTACAGGTATATATGCCACTCTCCTGAGGGGTTATCCCGCCTTAGCCGAACTGGAGTCAACCTTTTGCGCACTCAGAAAACCACAATTGTCGTAAAAAATGCTAGTGACCACTATTTTCAATGCCATTTTAACAGAGTGTCACTAAAAACAACGTCAAGTGGTAGTACTAATAAAACGTTAATAACGTTAGTCGAATACCCAAAATGAAACACATTCAGCCATTTAAAAGTAGTTGAATAAGGGCCGAAAGAGTAATTGAACAACTGCTAGTGAGATAGAATATGGAAGCCGGTGATTTCACGAGGACGTTTACTCGCCTTCAGATATCGTGAATTTTGCTTGATGTGACACGTGCTGCAAATTTTCGAACACACTCCTGCACTCAAGAAGCATTAACAACTTTGACAGTGAATTACTTCATTGGAAATGGTGAGCAAGATTGTATGGGGAGTGGAGGAAATGAAATTTCATGTTAGGCTGCAGAACACTAGCATGCAATTCAATTCATGCGCGGGTTCATTAGGTCAATAATACAGTTTAACTATTCTTGGCTGAAGCATTGAGAACTTGCATTAGCAACAGTTGAAAGGTCATAGTGAGTTCCAGAAACTGCGAACACAAGTTAAGGAAATTAATCGTGTTAATAGACCACTTTAAACCAACTTTGCTGCACTGGGTAAACAAGGGACCACGTGAAACCCTTCTGCAACAGTAAAGCATTGTACATACAAGCCTAACAACAAGGCAGACGTTTTTGATACGAGACAGTCGGTTTGAGCCTGTGAACAAGATGATAAGAAGAGCATTCCAGCTACTAAACTCCGACTCATCAAACAGCCAGTCCCGTTGATTACAGTATTGGCTATCAAATAAACAACTAAATTTTACAAATCAAAAGATCAAGTCAAGCTGCATATTTTGGTTAGATGGGCTGTACAAAGTCGCACATGAAGCTATAAGTAAGCTACGATCAAAGTTCTTAAAATTAGATTCATGACATACGGACCTCATCAGAAGTGAATCACAACAACCAGTTACCAATGATCGATAGGTTTTTGGACGCATTTATCTAATAGTTATCATGATATCATGACTCATGTGCTGCCACGCATAACAAAGAAATTTAAATTACAGTGTAATCAAATGTCTCACATTATGCCACCACTCTATGAACGAGTTCATAAGTGAAGCAAAGATACACACAAAAAATCACAAAAAACCACTAGACGTAATTGTACAATCAGAATAAACACACAATGAGTGGGTGTGATTGCAAAGCAGAAGGCCTGCGTCACAAGAACGATGTCTGTGCGCAGAATCGAGTAGCATCTACCAACGCTCAATCAAGAAGCAGTCATATGTAATGATGCTAGGAAACATATTTGATATTGCTCAGGAACAGGTAAAATATTGAAGAAGAGTATCGAAGTGTGCAGTTTGTTTGATCGGTAGAGCATACGCATCGGCACAAATGAACGATTTGCAGATCGAAAATGAACGATAGTATCATTAAGCGTAAAACAAATACTTTAGTTCTTCCAGTAAAAGTTCGGTAAACATCAATATTAGGTTTATAAAGACAAATACGATACAATTTTGTAATTGGCATTCGAGGAAATATGGCTTGTGCAAAGTGAAAAGTGACATGCGACGGAATGGTCAAAAGATGCGAATCTCAAATAGAGTTAAAGCTTATAACCAATATTCAAACGCACATGAAAAAATCCTCGAAGGCATAAAAAATAGAAGAGTTGTGCCATATTGAACCCCGCGTATCAGCACTAAGGAGAGTAGTAGGCTAGTTTTCCAAAGCGAACATCGAAATGAAATATTAACTACCGCGCTAAGGGAGTGAAGATATGTATCCAAATCCGAATGAAAATCAGATGATGACAATTACAGAAGGATGACTTACGGGCAGTCAGATACCGTTCGTGATCTATTACCCCCCTCCCCTCTGGTGAAAAGAAAACCAACATGAGGCTCTTCGATCCGTAACGAATTTGCTCCCGTAGATAAGGTTCGATACCGTTTCGCCTAACAAAGGGGGTCAAAAATGCCGATTTTAATAGTTGGAAGGCATTACAGATATTAACTAATTGATTAACAGAGTTCAGACTATTTACAAACTCAATAAAAATCTCCAGCGAGTCAGAGAAGCTGAAATGCCGTCTGACTGCACTACAAAGCATGGAGTTACGAACAAATAATGACCCTATGAGTTTTCAGATATTTCACAAATACAAAATTTTGCATTACTTAAATACTAAAGGCACTGTCAGCCCAAACATGTTCCACTTTTAGCACTTGGAGGGCTTTAGGTATAACGGTACAACGATGAACGAGATAATGATAAGAGATAATTTAAAAGAGCTATTTGAGAATAATGCAACTGTTTTCGTATAGTAATTATTTATTCAACAGATAAATAATCACTGGACAGTATGCAGCAGTAAAGATGTATCGGAAGCCCTCATCCTTCACCGCTACAAATGACCTCTTCCTTTCCACCATATATAGGGAGAAAGCTTCTGCCACGCACGCATGCTTAACTGCCATGCGTTATTACTCGTATTTTGTTGCAAAATTATCAAAAAGTAGAAGTCTATGCGCATGGTCTACTGTTAACGTTGGAAGCCAAAAGTACTGAAAATAACGCCAGCAAATGGTTGAGCGATCGCCTCACTGCTGTGTCCCACGTGCAACAACCCCATTGTATCAGTGATGACGAGTACAGATATGCATATTAATATGAGCCAGCTTCAAGAATTTGTGATACCAATACCTCGAAGTGGGTAAGATAACGAGGTCATTATTATCAAACATGATCCGAGACTTTTACACTCCAAATTTATTTTGCTATGGAAAGAAATCCTTTTAATTTCACAGGTTTGAGGATTGTAGTGCATACCCCTCCGACGTTCGTAAGATTCGGTGCATCATAATGAGCTGGGAAAAAACCGGATGATGTCGGATTTTTGCCCTTTAGACCTTTGGTGCCCATAATTTCCACTGCCTTCTCAGTGCCCTCCTCGGTAACACCACCTGAAGGTCGCACGAGCTGCGGTTGGGGAACGGGAGGCCTGGGAGATGGTAATAAAGGTACATTAAGCACTCCAGCGGAGGGTCCGGTGAAAAGAGGACCAACAGCTGGGTTGATTGGAGCCACTGGCAAGGCGTGAAGCTCTCCGTTGGCTCCAGCAGGATAGAGGAAGAAGCCCGGAGCGGAGGGGGGTAAAAGCATGGGAGCTGTTGGGGCCGAATTCGGTGCACGAACAGCTGCCGATGGATTCGTCCCAGTACTCGTAGTTTTGCTACCAGTGGACGTGGCATTAGATGACTGCGCAAAGACCGGAGCGATAGGAGTAACAGGATTCAGAGCTGGTGTAGGGCCAACAAAACCATTGGCTCCTGATTGCAAAAGTTGAGTTATGGGAATCCAGGGTGCTGAAAACGCAGATTCCCTCATTAGGTTCCCAAGTCACTCAATTTGCATCAATAAAAGACAAAAAACGAGGGAAGTATAAACTGGCGTATTGCTTGTGCCAATTTTCTGATATTCACGCCTTTCCTTAAACAATACTGTTCAACAAAGTGCACTCACGTACAGCAACTTACTAACTCCAGGCCACAAATAACAATTTGATAACATCAAATCACGCACATCAAAATCCGAGACAATCCACTGTAGATCATTAGCAGCACCAATACAAATATATATACGTAAACGTTGCATAAACTAGCAGCTGTACTTATAAAATCCACCCATATTCTGATGAAGAAACATAGCAATTATTTATGAGAATGCGGTTCCAGTACCATGGAATATTGGATAGGACTCGATGTTTGTTGTCTTAGGTGCTTTAAAGGAATAGGATTATGCTCTGGCATTTAAGTAGTGGCAAAATAAATTCAATTTCATTTGCTTTCAACAAACTTCTACCCATAAAGTCATACACCACAATGGTGTGAACTTCACATGCCTAGTTGTGAATTTCCGGGTGCAAAATATTGGTATATGTGGTGTCATGCAAACACGCACAATCTAATGACAAACACTGCGCATGAAGTCATAAGACTACTGATATGAAGAAATCAAAAACACAATCAATAAACACAGAAAAAGCGTACATTCATCACACTCCATTTCTGCATCTTACTGGTATTGGGAAAAAGGGTCAAGGAAACTCGCGCTAAATAAGGGACGAAAGATAACCACGTCAATAGGCAAAAACTACCCGAAACAACTGTTAATTAGACCAGCTTAAGGAATTTCCCAGTTCTACTTAGTTTTGCAATGTAATTAAATAACCCTTATAACCTACGCGGGTAGAGAAGTGGAGCCGAAGGAGGGGGTTGAGGGAGTCTGACTCCCCTTGCACCACATCCTTGGGGCGAAGCTGAATTGGGTGGCAGATAGGCCGTCGGATAGGCGAGCACGGCAGGCAGCAAAGTTGCCCCAGGCGCAATGAAGGGAGCAGTCGCTGAGGTTGGCACATGACCTAGCAATGATGCAGAGGTGGCCGATGCCGTGGAAGGTGACGAAATAACTCCTGCTGATGCCATGGGATTCATGTAAGGCAAGGGGACCGGACACTGGAGATACGGTGGAACAGCAGTGCTGGTTGATTCCACGTTTGCGGAGGTGGTCGAAGTCTGTGCAATGAAAAAGAAAATCACCACTCACGAACCATTCGGTGACAAACTATGGGACCAGCACAAACAATATGGTAATCAAAACGATGCCAAACTTGGGTGAAATGTAACGATGGCGCAAATGACATTTTCATCAAATCGAGGCATCGGTAACACGATATAGCTGTGTGAATCTCATCCGCATAGGTAGAAACAAGGATAAAACATCTCCCAAACCGCAGTGATTGAGAGTCATTTACCCGTAAATAAAACGAGCAATTTCACGAGTGAAATTAGCAAACTTGTAATTGTTAGCAAATGCAAATACGAGAATTATGATGCGAATCTAATGCATTTCGAGTCGATCTGTCTAAACAGCCACCTGAAAATCGATGTCTTTAAACTGCGATGGCGCATCGCAAGAGATTCAGTACTGTCAAAATGAACATTAATCAAGCGGCAAATACAGCCACGTTGAAAAATTTATTGTACCGAGCGGTTGAGAACGAAAACACATCAGCTGCTTAAGCTTTTCAGATCGAGAGATTAGAAATCAGACTGTCGCTAATCCCCTTTGGACATGTGCAAGTGAAGCAATGAGGTGAAGAGAAACAAATACGGAGTCGCATATGAACTACTTGCACACGCATCAGAACATGTGCTACCTGAAAGGCCGCGTGCAAACTGTAACCACAATGCGATTGCTACACAAAAGTGCAAACAGAAAATTGCTTTATCATATTACAACAACAGAGTAAAAGGAAAAAAGGGGTAAATATTTTTGTCCCTGTGATTGCCACGATAGCGCAAAACCGGTAAAATAAAGCAGTCGCAGACTTTTATCTTTGTGTAGATGCAAAATCTATTTAAAATATGTCTTTCGCAAACCGGTAAGCAATGAGGACTGTATACCCACTTGAGAGACAGAAGCTGCAGAGTAGTGGGCATCCTTGGTCGAGATGTCTGTTGAAATTGTGGCCGGATCAAGCTCGGAGAGCTTGCGAAGTTGTAAGTCTATGTCGTTAATCATGCCATCTTCAGGCCTAGACGTAGGAAAATAAACCGTTTCATTATGAACCATTGCACTCTAAACAGACATTTGTAAAAAACTCTCTGGCATTTACCTGGCAATACAATCACAATCATTTGATAACTTAAGGTCGCTAAATCCGGTTTCGCGTCTCGTAAAAGTAAGCGCAACAGACCTAAAGCTTAACAACTAACAAGGAGTCACACATCCATAGGCCTTTGTAGCTTACAGTGACTGAGACATTGGGATTTCAGAAGGATCACATAGAGAAAGCTGGCGCATGCGACGAGTAATAGATCGAGAATCAGATGCCTTGAAACTTTCTGAAGCAACGATGAAAAGACGTGACAGCATTGCGTCGTCGACGTCTTCATCCTGGTGGCTCGAACGCTGAAAATAGACACAAGCAGCTCGGGCGCAATCAGTAAACACGAACCATAGCTCATGATGACTTGCTTTCTCTGAAATAATGACTCAAGCCTAAAGGATAAACACCACAAAATATGAATCCAACCCAAATATTATAAGCCATAAATTTGCATCTTTTGTAGTTATATCGGTAGGAGCTCTACAATCGAACCAAATCGGAAGAGGAATTATTTCTCGTAACGCAACTTTTGACGTGAGGAATGCCTGATTCAATCAAAGCATTGGAGATCTCGACATCAACAGTATGCTTACTTGCTCATTCGTTTCACCTCGGGTATCTTGATGTTTCGAGTTCGACGAAAGAACAGCATTAGAGTTGGAGCCGTCAGAAACGAAATGCGCCTCACTGAAAGCTTGACCTCCAATGTCAGATTTTTTAACAGAAATGTCAGCAGTCTGACTGTCGCCAAATGAATCTGTTTTTTCTTGCAAACTACCCCCTAAAATATGACAAATTAGCTAGTCATCAGGATCCTCGGAAATAAACGCCATTAAATTCTCTAAATTTCTGTATTTTAAAGACATAAACACCCAATATTGTTCTGAACTTATTCGATCCAATTTACATAGCAAATTGTGATATCCCAGTTATCGCCAGCATATGATTATTCTATTCAGGGATGGATATAGCATATACAAATTGTAGTAGGCCCAAGGAAAGATCCGGATGCAATAGCCTTTCAGCATATGCCCGCAAATTCACATGATAAATGACACGGGTTCCCACGCACATGGGGGTGAAATCCAAACTGTGAATGCACGCAGATTTATGAATAGACCACACAAATAAAAACATAATAGAGCACCTACACTTCCATAGATCTTAAACTAGCTGTATCGGTGCACATTTGATAGTTACCCAGGCTAACCATGCACAAAATGTTGGGTTGTCCAGTGATATCTACATTCCACAGCTTGACAGGAAGTACAAATGTGGTGTAACCCTCATGGAGAAAAGCACTAAAACGTGAATATGATGGGAAAAACAAACGGATGAACAGCAAATATAGTGTGATTCTGAAGAAAGGCGTATTTCATTACTCATGAAACCATTTTTATAACGAATATGAACTGGTGGTTGAAAGAGGACTGAAGGTTAGTAAACTGAATTACGACTAATCATTACATTGCACCATAATTTAATGTAGCATTCATTAAAAATGCCCTTAACAGTGAATGACCAATTAAAAGACCGGAGCACGTGACGTATGGTAAATATGTCACATCTGCTATCATAATGCAATTATACAATAATAGCGAGAAAACGAAACAAGGAATGGGGTCAAACGCATAGCATCTGGTACTTCTAACGGAACAACTCAAGATAATGAAAAGTAAAATTCGCGATCACACTTGAACGTCTAAAGGAAAACACTCAACAGTACGATGATGCACTGCAACTTCGATTTCAATAGGCTATATTAATTAAATACGAGAATGTGACTATGTAAAACGTCACGGAGATGATATTACCGTTGGGAAGCACGAATTCCAAGACATCGGGATTGGGAGAATGGACTGATTCAGTTCTATCCGTTGGATCAGCCTCTTTAGCGTGGACTTCTTCACCAGCCGCTCGCAAAAAACTTCGAATGACCCACTGAGTTGGACGGTTCCGACAGCGAACACGCATCTCCTTCGTATCTGTTTCGATTACTTGACTGGGTACAAGGGCCTTAATGTACATAAAATCCCAGAGTACTTTACCTATCTATGCAGATTTAAAATAGGCAACCCAGTTAGCAGTGGGCGAAGAAAGAATGTGAAAACGATAAATAACAATCAACATATCTAGAAGGTTCGATAACCCATGTAAGGCTAACACATATTTATCATTAAGTTTCACAAACAACGTAAGGTATAAGAACATTAGCGTTCACATAATGAATGCACCAATATTGAAGAAAAAGGCTAATTATTTAACTACGAAGCTACCAATTCAAAAATGCGAATGCATACATTGATAATCCTGTCCAAATCCGTGCACAGAGAGGCCACACGATTAAACTTCGCTATAACTGAAATAGGCACCCAACCATCTTCATCCATATGACTTCTGAGATATGTGTCACGAACGAGGTTATCTTCGCTAAAATAAAACTCAATTTGATGCAAAATTCGAGATTGAAGAATTGCATCACTATCCATGGGAGATATTGTTGGATCGAAATGAAAAACGCTGGGTCGAACGAAAAGCGGGACAGAATTGATACCGATTGGAACTGAAGCAGCCTCGTTAGCCTTTGTAGGATCCAAGGTTGTGGGTATCCAATTTGGCAAGCTAACCGCTCCAGGCGAAGGTAGTGAAGTAAGAAAACTCTTATCTATTGAATCTGGAGGAGCCGACGTCACGAGGGGTGCATTAGGATCCAAGCCGATGTAGTTCTCAGGGGCCGCGTAAATCATTACGACTGGATACCCAAAAGCTATAGAATAGCAGTTAGTCGTGAAAATCGTACAATGCTATACACAAATATTTACAAGAGGCATACGTTGAGCAGAAATCTGTGACTGTCCAGAAGGCTGTGCGTGAATCGAATAAGGTAACAATGAAGGGAGTTGAACCAGCGAAGGTTGATTCCGAAGTTTGTCGCTTTTCCTTGGGAGGCCATTTGAGTAAGTTCTTGTAATGGAAGACTCGGTAGAAGCGCTTGCAGTAGATAAGTTATTTGGAGGGGGACGCCTAGGCTAAAAGCAGATAAGGTAATTATTAAGTATAGTAATAACAGCCTGTACACATTTACTACCAAGGCAACCCACCAACCGCTTCGTTGGCCTTTGATTCCTAGGAGTACGTATAAAACTTCGAGACTTGGAAGTTGTCGAGCCAACCGGTGCTTCATGCCCCGCATTGATAGACGTTGCGGTCTCCTTTCCTGGATCAGCTTAAAGCATCAAAAGCATCGAAAGGACATACTCTTATTCGGCTTCACACTGCTTTCCACCCTTTGATCACCGCCCGCGTCTTTCGGATACGTGTAATCCAAAGCCACAGTAGTCCATTTATTCTTTTGGCGCGTAAAGCTCGGCCGTCGATCGTTAAAATCCCTTGCACTTGCGAACTGGGAATTGGGGTTCTAAAACTCAGGTTGTCTAGAAATGAGTGCATACAGTAGGTTTAACTTTTGCAGTAGGTTTCGCCCCATTAGACTGCAGTGCGACACTTCCATCGTAGTGAATTTGCAATGAAGGCCAGTCCCGATCGGACATACCTGCATGCACCTCAGAGGAAGTAAGACTAGTTGAATTGTAGGACCATGGACAATCACGTTTACCATTGCTAGTCACTTGGCTATCACATCTATCAAGGATGGTTAAAGGAAATCAGACACAGACCCCGAACCGACTGCACCACACGCACGCCCCAATGAACCCATCGAAGCTTCTTTTTTAGACATTTACACTGATGTTCTCAGTCAAGGTAGTGGTGATATTTAGATACTTAAGTTGACGAATCACAAACACAAACAATATGACCACTCAGATGTCCGACGACGTGCCAAGTTGCACGCCTAAGCGGAACGAAACTACTACGAAAAAAGCGCTCACAAAATAAGTAACTCAACTGGTTTACAATTAATTCAATTGCAGCATTGTACCACAAACAGCACAGCATCTTCCTAAACCACATCAAAAATAGTTTATTTTACTCAAGGTTCGACAAACTTAATATCTTTCCTTTAAAAAGGGTGTTAAAGGAAAATATTACACCTGTTTGCGCAGGGATGAGTTTTATTTACAAAATAATTGACATATTCCCCTAACTGACAGCAAGCAGAGAGAATAAGACTGTAAAATCCCACCTTCAGAATATTCTTGTTGGTAAAATTCTGGTTATACGAGGTTACTCTATTCGTAGTGCAGAAATCTCCGGAAATAACCAAAATTTTTGCATTACAGCATAATACACTTTTTTAAAAAATTGGATTCCATACAACTGCTAAGCAATATCAAAGGCAAATAACGGTTTATCTCAAGGCGTTTCTTTCGTAACACTGATTTTTTAAGGTTTTAAAAGCACTACCATGCGTAAAAATATTTTAAAAAATTTTTATCTTGTATAAATGGCTTTTGTGTGCGATCTAAGCCTAAACTAAAAGTAATCCTGTAGGCCTTGTATTTGTTTAACTGCTCAACAAAGGCAAAATTTAATTCAACCTGAGTGGTCTAATTGGGGCCTTGCTTTGTAGTTGACCACAGGATGGCGGATGGGAGCTTGTTCCGTAAACTATCTTTGTGTATACATATACGTTTGTAGAGTTTCCTGTGCTAAATTTTAGTGGGCTTGCTACTCGGGTTGCAGAATGTACTGGCCAAAAAATTAAGCCATCCGACCTGGCTGTTGGTAGCGGCTCGATTTTTTTAATTGTGTTAGGTTTTAAGGTCGATGGCATAATCTGTCATTGTCTCTTTGATTTTTACGGGATATCACTTAGTCCCTCTGATAGGTCATTTTACGCCCTTACGTTAATGAAAAAGTTTGAGCAGATGAAATTTCCGGAGTCTTTTACTTCCTCTGACTTTGCGGAAGAAAGAGATCCAAAAAAGATGTCTAGGGTGCTGTCGTGGTTATTTCGGTTCTTCGAAACTCTTGCCCCCGCCAATGAGTACGCATTTAACGTAGGTGTGTTTCCCTTTTTGGATATAAGTAGGTGTGGAATTCATACAAGGAAAAGGCTTCTCATGCCACAGCTCTGAAGGAAAAAATTGCTTCTTTGCGCATCATTAACAAAACGGAGGAGGGAAAACGTTCAGAATACCAGAAAATTATCGTGGAATTACGGTCGTCTTTGTCTGAAAAGCTTATCTCAAGGAGGCAAATTGATGATCGCATTGCTTCAGAAGGTCGAAAACTATCCCTTCTTACCGAATCCGAGAAGTCGCACTCTCTGGAGGTTTCGTCCTTCTTTAATTTCTTTCATTTAGCACCTCCCATAATTGCGTTGTTTTTGCTAGTGCAAAGTTTGTTTTTATTCACCAATTTTCACTCCGTTCATTGTATTTAGTACTGTTTATTTGAAATCCCAGTATTTTTCGTTTGCCATATTGCCGTCTCCAAATTTCTCAAGCGCTTCAAGTGATTTGTGTTCTTAACCTTCAGTCATACTGCTCGTGCGTACTGTGTTAAATTTGTTAAAATATGTCCTTTTTCTAATAAGACATCGACTCTGTACAAAAAACTTGACGAGCTTAAAGGCAGACGAGAAATTTTGCTTCCTCAAGTTGTCGAGAATCCGAATCTTCTCCCTAAGGCGGTAGAGGAGTTGAAAGAGAAACTAAATGCTTTGGAACTTGAAATGCAGGAGATCAGGGCAAAGACTTTTCAAGTTGACCAATCGATTGGCGACTTTAAACGGCTTCATGAGGTGATTGAGCAGCAACTTGTTACAGTTGCTAGGGCTTGTCATTCGCTGCTCTATCAAATGTCGCAGTCCCAAACAGACTTGGAGGTGCGTCTAGTCATTCCCGCTCCTTTTATTATTCTAACCGCTGCCATCCGTAATGCATAAATTTATTAGATACACCTACCCCACTCCATTAAAGGCAAACTTGACGAACTACTTTTTTTCCAAGCTCCTAGAGTGATCTAATTAGGCATTTTAGTAACAACTGGTGGTATTTTAAGCTTCTATCCGTCGGTGACCCGTCAAAGTTTTCTGGTCGCATTGCTTGCAGTCGTTTTGTAATGATTTCGCCTTTCATAGAAGTCGGATAAAGAAATAGTAGGGCGGTCCACCAGTACCGAATCGTTGGTTAAGAAAATTACTGACGTTACGGAGCGACTACGTCTCTCAGAGCATAATATTGTCAAAGCGAAAGTGCTGGAGGCGACTCAGACATTGGTAATTTCGGTTTTTCGCGTCACTTTTTTCCATTCTCACTTAATTACCAAAATTGCCACAATTTGTGTATTTAATAAATCGACCTTCCTTTTAGAATGCTGATCGTATCAAAAAAGAAAAGGCAGCACTATTGGATAGGTATCGTTTCGTCTTCAAATCCCTCGAACCCGATGTCTGCGCAAAGGAGGCTCTGCTGAAAACGACGAAAATACTTTATGAAAATGAGTATTCCAACAAAAAGGTGTGTTTAGCATTATGGTAGGAAAGTTTCCTCATTTACGCGTATCCGCGCAGCTTTCACGAAACAATAATCTTCCTTCCAGCGTGACGATGACTGGAAGAAGATAGAGGAATTGAAAGATATTCTCCAACGACTTTATCAGGCTTACGTTCAGAGTCAAGATCGGTATTTTTTTCGCTGAGGAATTCTGAAATGTACATATGGAGATGCTTGCAAGTTTTTGGTTATTTCAATGCTCAATTTGGGCACGTTAGTGCCAGCTGAGACCCCTCTGGTCGCCTAGACGGGGTTGGGTCGTCGAATCGCGTTTATTTTTCAAATTCTTGGTGGGGCGTAGGAAACGTCGAGGTAATCTTATTCTTGGCGGTGTTTTGCAGGTCTGTTCTGTCTGGAGTCCTACTTTGCGTGACATGCAGGCCAAATTGGTTCTCTAGGTATGGGTTTGAATCCCCGGTGAATGCAGTGATTTGATGTGGTGGGCTTTCTTCGTGGCGTGGGTGGTGCTCATCCTGGGTTGTCTGTGGTTGTTCTGGTGCCTTTTGGCGTAAGTCGTCACAGTGGGTGGTAAGCTCGTTTTCTAACGCCTGGGGATGTTTTGAGGCTGGTGTGTGTTAGAATCGGTGCTGCCCAAATCTCTGGCGAATTTGGACCCCTCTGGCGTGCGGCATTCTGCCGTTTTCCTTGTAGCTCTTTCTTCCGTTCTGTTCCCCCAACAAGTATCCGCGAAGGGTGTGGTACTTCATTATTCCTCCGGGGTTGTGATGACCCAAAAAAGACAAGACACAGGCCCTTATGATCAGGTAAGTTGCATGACAGTCAGGGCCTGGTTTTACTGGACTGAAGGTCTTGGTTGCACCAGTAGGCTTTCTACTCCCAGTGAAGTTTCTGCGCGCTTCCAGTGGTCGGGCGGTATGTGTAATGAGGGTGACAGACTCGGAGGGATCATTCATGGGACGATTTGCATCACGTGCGCAAAGCTTACCCCCAATCATCATTAGAGGGAACCCTTTGTCGACTTATAACTGCAAGAAATACAGCATTTACGAGGCACCGTTTCTGTCTTTCGTACCAAAAAATTGCATTGAAAAACACTGTTTTCTCAAATTACTGCATTTTTTGGTACTTTAGGATAATGAGTTTTCTGTTCAAGTGAAATGCGGCCTTGCTTTGTTCCTTGTGCCTTGCTTAAATTATTTGTTTTGCAAAAAGGCATTCTAGTTGTGGTATTTTTAGTGCGAGATGTGCCAGCCAATTAGATAATCTGCTAGGTCATGTGACATTTGTTTAAGTCCTTCGCAGTTATTTGTCGCAATTCTGGCGTTTCATAGTTTTATCTGCGGAAGGGGCAATGGGGTAACGAATGCTTAAAAAAAACAAAATATGGCTAAAAGTGAAGGTTTTCAAATAGCTTGCGCAGTTTCCGTTGAAAAAATTCTGGAGCCTTTGGTTGAGCAAATATCCGCGCTGATTGACCGGAATGACTCACTGGATCGTCCTAAGGGTCTGTCTCAAAACAAGGCCACAATTCTCGACCTGGTCAAGAATGTAAGCTTATAAACTCGTTGTTTAATAAAGTCATAAATGCATTAGTAGATTTTTGGAGTATTTTGGGCATTTGTGTTGCGGTCCTCTTGAGTTACCCATGTTCTTTGTATCTAACACTAATTGTTTCATTGTTGTCATTTTCATTGCTTTTTGTTTATAAAACTAGCATTTACTAGGTTATGTACTTTTTAGACATTTTATGACCTTTTTGGTTAACCTCTTCGCTTGTATTGTTGCTACATTCTAGTAAGTTTGATCAACATTCTTAGATTAAAATCAATGACATCTTGCGAGTATATACGGGGTTTCTTGGTATTCTGTTAATTCGTTTTGCTATTTTAGCAATATGTGTTCCAGTAAAATCTTTGTCGTTCTTTCGGCAGTCTATGTAGCGCTATTCGTGACTCTGGTGCAGCGTGACAATACTTGAGAATTCGAGCCTTAATTTTTTATTTGGCTCTCTGATATGTTTGTCATAGGCTTTTTTTGTAGTCCTCATGGTGTACATAATAACATAGTTTCGTTGATATGTTAAAGGCGATAGGCGATTTAATGAAAAATGCGGAAGAAGTACGCGGCGAGTGTCCCGACGTGTCGGCAAATTTCCAGGTTGCTCTATCAGAAATTCAGGATATCGGTGATCATTTCCACAAGTCAGTGAACGCCTTTTTGGACAACCCCGAGAGTGAGGAATTTCACGCAGAAATGCTGAGGGCTTTGCGAAGCCTTTTATCATCTGTAACACGTGTCTTTATACTTGCTGATCTAATTGACGTCAGTCAACTTCACAGCTGTCTCGAAAATATCAAGGGCGATGCAGAATGCATTGGAATTTTAACCGATGAAAGTGTATGACATTTCGGTCATTATTTTCTGCCACTAGTCTAGGCTTCAGCATTTTATTATTCCGACACGAGTAATAAATAATAATTTTTGACTCACCTTTGTGATTATTTATCTATCTGCATTGTAAAAGTTGACATTCTCTAAAGTTGCGCTGGACATAGGCGTCTAAGAGAAGAAAATATGATTTCGAACCTTTTTGAGATTAATAACCACCCATTTTGTGATATTTTTAAACATCGAGCTTTCACACCTCGCAAAATAGGGCCCTTCAAACATTTTGAGTCGCAGGAATAAATGTGGACGAATTAGCCGTAACTTTTTAACCTTTTCTTTATTTAAATATAACTTTTCCAACTTTCCATGCTAAATACTAAGCTTTGGTTCCTAGGCAATTGCTATTTGTATATCTAAATAGGTTAATAAATTCAATTTTAGGAGCTTTCTTGTTTGTGCTCATTACTGGAGAACCATTTCAAAGACCTTCAAGTCCTGCTAAAGTTTCGGAGTCAGGATTTTCTTGGTTCAAAACAACGGGTCGATCTAAACAATAGTTGCGCAACTCTCACTCTGGCCTGTGAAATGATGGTCGCCTCTACAAAGGTACCTTGATATTTGTCCACTGCCGTAAGAAGACAAATGACTTATTTAAAAAAGAGCAGCACTCAGTTAGTAGTAAACACATTTGCAACACCCTCTTAGTCTGCCTGAGTTTCATAGTCGGCGTTTTTCACCAGCATTTAAAAAATGGGCATGTCGTTTATAAACCCCTTTATTGTGACACAGTTACGGTACTCTCTAGCCTTTGGATCATTTTCTTAAAAAGGCACAGCGCCGATTTGCAAACGTAAATACTGCGGTTTTGTAAGTGAGTATCTGAAATGGTAACTAGATTTTACTCACTTCATCCTGGAAGGCCAGTTTTTGCTACCCGAAATTGGCGACATTGGCGGCCAATCGCGAGTTCGCAGTGAAGTTGGTTAACAGGGCGGTTGACCGCCTGGTCTGCGCCTGTGATACAACCTACTCCCCAGCGACACTGCCACCACTGCAGGGACAGGCCGTAGCGCAGCTCATGCAGGCGGTTGTGGTACGCAAGTCCTTCCACCCCTCCCCGTCTAGCCTCTCTCTACATAGTCACTATGTCCCGCCCTTCCCATTCACAGAAATGTGCAGAGGCAGGAGTTGAGAAAGTGGAATCCTGGAACAGCACTTTTTTCCAGAGCAATGTTCAAAAACTCTCCACTGAAATCGCAATTCTAACGCAGTCAGCTGGTTTGGGGAATATTTTTCAAGCGGGCATAGCACGCAACATTCATGAACTCAATGAGGCGGTCGATCTGTTCATCGAAGCTTGGGACTACGAGGTGTGGTGGTAGAACGAATAAATGCTTTTGACCTATTGATCGCTTTTATTGCCGTATTCTTTTTGCACAACTGTAGACTTCAGCTGGTTTACGAGAATATATGATGACGATGAAGAGATCTTGTGCAAATATTCGTTCGCTGATCTCACAAGCAGCGCTTACTCTTTCTTCATCAACCTTCATTGCAAACAACACTGCCCTTAGTCATTTGGAAGAGTCTGCTAAATACGCCAGCGAAGAAAATTTAGTATCGGCAGTAGTAGAAATTCAGGTAGCTATATATCCGGATTTATTATTCACTGCCCATTTGCTGAATGTGCCCAGTAACGTATTGAAGGGCTGGCAAAGTAGCTAATATTGCTAGGTCCCAGGGAGATATACAAGAGATCACATTTCTAACCTCCGTAAACTTAATTACCCAGGTTACAATAATTTGGGATTGGGTGTTAAAGTAAGGTTATGTGTTTTATATGAATCATGAATTTCCACTGTAAATTTTTATCAACGTGGCTCCCATTATTCTTTCTATGTGCCTCACAAATTGTTGCCTTGAGAGCTTAGCTAAAAGCCACCGAGGATTTGGCTCCTTATTAACATCAAATGTTATAATTTGGCAGTAACACTAAATGTGTCTTGAATGTCATTTTAATGTAAGGGCTGAAAAAATTTTACGATGTTTGTTACTTCCAACATCATTACTAAACGATCGAACGGCTTGAGGTCAGCATTCAAAACTGCAATTTGTTCCCCATCAGGAAGATCAATAAAATGGAACTAATGGGTGAACTTCATATTGTTGCAGCAGCAAACATCAGATCTCATCGATTCTGCTCTCTGTTTATGTGGTGTGGGGACGGACCCAAATATGATGCATTTTGTAAGGGTCACTGCTAATGACTTGGAACAACTTGCTCCCCAATTGATCAACGCCTCAAAGGCTCTTACTCTGCGAAGCCAATCCTCGGTGAGTACACGGCTTTGCTATCTAAATCCACTTAGGTATATGTACCGTTTGAAAGCGGAATATCATTTTACCTGTGTTTTGTCTTCCATTGAAACACGGAAAGTAAAGCATAACACCTCGTTGTTATCCAAAAATTCAAATAACTCTGTGATGTATCAGGCGAGGTGACTGGCTCAATTTGAATGATATTTGCCTTTATTTTAAAACAAATGGTTTTTGGAGGTTTTCCCAAACGTAAGGGTTTGTTTAGTGACGGTGTACGCATCAATTTAATTTTAGCTAACCAAAGAAAACTTCTCCATATTCCTCAAATGCTACAAGTCTTTAGTGCAAAAGCTCTGCGATTACATCGATGAGATGACAAATGTTTTGGATTTCCTGGAAGCGTACGATCGGTTGCTGCAGGACGACATAAACTCATGCCAAACGAATGCGGAGGTAAGAATGAAAGCACACCTCGGCCAGACAAATGTCAGGTTGATTCCCAGACTATTTGCACCATTTTCAATATGGTCTCAATCGTGCTAACGCCGTCTTCTTGAATATGTTCAATGGTTTACTTTTAGGCTGCGCAAAGGAGTGGTCTCATAAGCGTATCTCGCAAGTTATCCGCTCGCTGTTATAGAGCAGTTCGATACATCCTCACCAAATTGGAGACATCCAACGGGCACAACGCGAATGCGAACCAGACTCAAGCAACACTTGAGAGCATAGAAAAGAATGTAAGTACTTCACAGCAATAATGATTTCTAATTAATTATTCTACTACTATGCATTATTTTCTTTTAATTTTGCCCCTTACCTGTTGTACACTGATAAATCAAATTGCTCTATTAGCTACTGTCAGTTTTGTGGTTCTTCGTTTGTCGCACCAAATCCTACTTACAGTTGGTGTTAGCTTACATTATTGCATGAGCATTTTTTTGTCAAATAAGAAAACCTGATGGTAGCCTAGGCACAAAGACTATGGGTTAGGCCTGAATCAGTCGGAAGAGGTGAATCATCAGCATAGAAAGGAATTTTTATTTTATATAAACGAGAAACAAATAAGGAAATTCGTATTCCTTGTGCTAGCTTATTCCGCAGCTCACTGAAGCAACGGGAGAGGTGTGTCGTAATTTGCATTCGCGAAACAGAGCACTTCAAGTCGACAACGTTCGACGCATTGGTGAAGCAATCCGCGATGCTTTTAGTGGGCTAAGGCCCCTGCTGGATACAATGGATTCCCGACAGGGAGAGACATCTTCAAATCTTGCAGAAACCACCTTCGATTTGCCACCACCGACGCCATCTCTGCCCCCTCCGCTGCCACCACCCCAACCAAACGAATATACCCACGACTCGTTCATCCGTAAGCGATCCTCGCATGTAGACTTGTACTACGGTGATCATGCAACATTCCGGTGAAATCAAGACCAGCTGTAAAAGAACAATGGTATTGACGTACTCAAGCGATGCATGAATAGAGATTAATCAAAACTTTGTGCAGCAACAATTATGACTGTAATAATAGAAATTTTATAAATTCCAGCGAAGGGACTGTGAAATATACATACCCTCTGGATTGTTAAGTAGATTGCAATCTTAATGTTATTTAAGGCCATTTGAAAGTCGCATATTTGTTGTCATGAATTTAATGATTCCTGGTTTAGGATTATCCCTTTTACCAATGACCTGGTAAATTTCACCGACGTCTTCTCCTCATTTCAAACCTGCTCATTTTTCCTTCGTAATCCACATATCTTAGGGCGTTCTTGCATTAAAATTCAGGCAGTATTCCTTGCAGATACGCTGGCTCCTAATGAGAATGATTATTAAATTCTGGTCAGATTGTATAAATGCATAATAATAAAAAAGTGGTAGAAGCTCACTAACTCCGCATGAGCTAAACGGCCCATCTCAGGGAAAGAGGGCCAACCCATTCACACCCATAAATTTTGCCTTTTGAATAAATTGAAAATATTCTGAGGAAAGTTTCCTGATAAGTCATCTTTCTTTAGTTAAGCGACAATTTATGCAAAAGTTTAATGCTCAGAAATTTAATTGGCATTCTTTTCATCCACTGAAATACTTTTCTAATGTCTGAAATTAATATATGGATTAATTATACAATGAAATCGGTTTTATTTGAGTCTCTATAAATTGCATCATCTGAAGAAACAATTGTCGGGATCACAGATTCATGTGACTTCTTTTAACAGAGTAAAGTTCTAAAATGGTTTAGAATTAATGTAGAGCTCTTTTCTGTCATTTGCAGGAGACTCCTGACGATGATTTACGCTATGCAACATGACATCGGATTTTTGAGCACATCGAGCCTTTAATAACCAGTAACTTGTTCTAGAGCTAATCGTATCCGCTTTTAAATGCAACTCACCTCACTATCCATTTGAAATAAATTAACGGTTGCGTGCATTGAGTAATTACTTCCAAATACCATAGTGCGATTTCTGGTTGGCTTTGACTAACAACTGCATTCTAATCCTCTGCACAACTGCACCTTTGCACTTCTTGATGCTTGATTTCTCTGCTTCTTACTGCATATGGAAACATGTTGTCTTCATAATCTTCTGTTAGTGGTGAATATATGTTTCCTGACTAGTTATTGAGAATTTGATCTTTTATTGGTTTTCCCTGGAGGACATCTCACACACAGGTTAGCAAATGGACCTTTGTTCTTGTTTGCCAATACAATACTAAATTTAAGTGTATTTAATGATGAAACAATTTAGCGTACTTTCTTTTGTTTAAGTCGTTGTTCTCTAAACGTTATAATGGCAAACATTCATCGTAGCTCAAGTAACCCACCCCAATAGGTGCGCATGTCCAATAAGCTCATTCTCAAAGCCCAGGATTAATGTAAATACTAAATATGACGAATCTATTATACGTTTACTTTGCGTAATTTTTGTAGAGATTGATCATTACAAGTCAAGCCTGTTATGAGTGTATGTCTAACTCTAAAAATTTCTTCAAGCAGACCCATTTAGTGGATCCTCCATACGAAGTTCGCGGTCGTCACAAGCGTCGTGCTCTCTTCAACAGTTTTTGAATAGAACGGCTCCAAATCTAAATCAAATGGTTAACAAATTCAACATGGAACAGGCGAGTCTCATGTACCAAATTGAAAGGATGGAGGCGAGTGGGAATGACCTAATGGTGCCAACTGTTCGAAAAATTTGTCTTCGATTAACTGATGTAATCGACTATATGACAGTACCCGAGGGGAGTATAATTGCAACGGATGCAGAACTTGTTCAAGTATTGTCGTAGTACAGTATTATTCTCCTACTACTATTGATAATAGTAGTCGCATTAATCTATGTTTATATTAAAGGCAACTCACGAGGTCGCGTTGATGACGGCGCAGTTAAATGGGAAGTGTGAAAAGATAACGCGGGGCTCTTCTGAAATAAGTGCCAAGAGAAGGTTATTCACTTCCCTGAAAAATATTAATCTATTTTCGCATGAGCTGGCAGTGATGAGTCGAGTGAAAGCCGGTTTGAAAACACCAAATAGCGAGTTATGTGTATGTTTGTCTTCCAAAATTAGCGGCGCACTGACGATCAAATACAAGTAATGTTGAACGATTTCCTTCATTGTAGCTTGACAATGTAATTTTCCTGGTTCGATCTGCTCGGAACTTAATGCGAGAAGTAAATAAGGCCATGAGTCAGGTTCGGACTATTACCGATCAAAACCGGTTTCGGTCCGCCACCGCGCTTCCACCCGTTCCACCTCGTCCCCGTCGGCGTCGTGCCAGCACGCAGAACGGAAGCGGCGACGACTGCAGCAATAATGAAATCGCTCCATTGACATTCGATGTTAGGATTGATCGAAGTGTCGACTTTTCATATTAAGCTGTATATCCGAGAGACCAGGTTTTCTTAGCAAAATGTTGTATTTTTCCTATTCTGTCTTTTGGCTTTTTCGAGGAGTTGTTCGATGGAGTCATGAATTTTGGAAGGGTTCATGTCAGTCAGTGTTTGAAGATCACTTGCACAAGGATTTTGTTTAACTCTTCCATATGCATGGCGTTAAATCATTCATTGTACACGTTAAGGACCAAAGCAATTTAGAAATTAAACTAAGTGGTTTGTGGTAAAAACTAGCTTTACCAAGTCATTACGCCCTTAATTTATCTAATAGTGAAATAAATGCCTAGGCGGCAACCATTATTAAAAGGATATCCTTCTGAAGGTTAAGGTAGGTAGATAAGTTCTGTTCACCCTGTTGTACCGCTGAAATCCCTGAAGATGTTTTGGTGAAACGACTTGAATGAATTATCAACCTCCAGATTGTTCCACATTGATTCACAGATAACGAAGCAATGTTGATGCAATGTGGACTGGAGCACTCGAGAGTGACTAAAAATTAGTAGTAAGTAAAGGCAAGTTCTTGCAAATAATAAGTCTGATCTGGCCCTGAAAGTTTATAGGTTCTTAACTGCAAAGGCAGTAAATGAAGTTTAAATCTTAAATTTTGATTTGTATGACAATAAATTCATGCGTCTCAGCCATGATCTTGACAACCACTAATGTCGTGAGCTTGGAAACAGCAATACCTACAATTTACTATGACTTGGATAATCTAGGTAAAAAAGATGTTGACGACAGCAAAATCTTGAGTCGCTCAATAGACTGGAAACCAAATGGGGCTTGAGTGGACTAATAATGATAAGAAGCTTGCAAACTTCTGTCTAGCATGAATTTCTCAACAGTTATTTAGTGCATATGTGTAAGTTTTGTGAATTCATTGCATGAAAATATGAGAAATACTAGGTTTTTCTTCCATCTTATTATTTTAATATTTTCAACTGGTGTAGTCTCACTCGTACACCAGCGTCTCTAGATCAATCCGCCCTGCCTGAATTATTCATGGAAAATAAGCATATCAAACACAAGGTATTCACGTTACCTTCAATGGTCCAAGCACACTGGATTTCCGGTAAGGGCGTTTCTCTACTCACAGTATACATAATTTTGGTCCTCCGGAAACTGGGCGCAGCCAACGGGACGCCCTCTATTGCTACTTAGTTCCCTCTCTCCCTCAGCTCCTCTGACTGACTCCCTAGCGCAGTCGACACAGTTACACGTTCGTGCGCTTGGGCCTGAGTTGTATGCAAAATGGACGTTGACCAGTTTGGACAGGAGGGTTCCGAGGAGGGCCCATCAGTCTCCCAATTTCTCTCGGACGACGATGTCTCTGCCAAAGGGGCCATCGTTTTTTCCGGTCTCGACGAACCTGTTAAAGTAATTTTGTTGCATTTTGGTGTTTTGACATCACTAATATGGGATATCAGTGAGAGAAATCAGTATTTTTATGGGAACAATACTCAGTGGACTACCAATACATTGAGCATAGTTTGGTTGACCATGGTTTAGGATTTGGCCTAAAGCACAGAAATTTTGGGGCATAATTGACCAACCATTGTTCATTCTAGTCTTGTTGCCTCTTAAAATTATGGGGTAAAATTTTTACCTATGTTTCAGCTGTAGTGTTGTAATTTTCAACGCTAACATCTTCAGCATGGTTCATCGCACCTCCATGGCGTCATGCATTTCTTAAACTTCCATCATCCTATTTTGAAAAAAATCCTTAAACTATCATTTGGTCTACCTTAAGCACCAGGTTGCAATAAGATATTCACATTTTCATTAATTCCTTTTAAAATAAAAATAACATGATTTGGTGTACTATTTCATTTTAATAAAAAGCAGTCACATTTTTGAGCTTCTTCTACAAATCTATATAAGTTGGATATTTGCTTATAAGCAGAAACGTATGGCTGGCATAGGGCACTTATGGGCATAGTGTCTTTTACCACAAATGCTTCCTCCTCCTTTTCAACTAGTTTGTGACTGTGGGTAGGGTGCCCGCAGAGAAGCAAATTCTTCGAATATTTTCCTCAGCATGGCAGCTTAAACCACCGACACTAGTTATTAGTGTCCATGGCTCTTACGCTAACTTGAAGAAAAGGTTCAACTTCACTATGAAGAAAGGTCTATGGAAAACCATGGAAAGCGTGGGTAAGTAAAGGCGCTATAGTTCCAATTTCATGTGAACATATCACTTATAAATATGAGCGACTTAAATTGGTTATGTCAAATCAAAAGAAGTGTAGACATATTTGAAAAAAGGTGAAGGTGGAGGGGTTAGTAAACTAATAAAAGCCAACTATTTGTAAATATTGCATATGCTGTCTCAAGAATAGTGTTTATGTAGGTCCATTGGGGATTTTGATGCAATTTACGACAAACAGTAAGCCATATACATTGTGCCCTGTACAGTAATGTGATATGTCCGATTGCCAGGTACCGTTGTATGACCTAGTAGTTAAAAAAGGTTATTTAAATTAAAAGGGTGTCGTTTTTGTGGCCTAGATCTCTAGACATTAGTATTTGGGAAGAGAGAAATGCTTTTGAAGCAAGTGGCAGTTGCTAAAGCTACCAAAACTTGACATTTTTTTTTACATAAAGTGATAAAGTAATCTAAACCAAGATAATAAGGCCATTTGATTTGTTTTGGGCTATTCGCTTGAACAGGTTGTTGGATAATTGGCGATGCTTTGGATAGAGGAATAGGTAAAATTGCCGGCGAAGCGGTGACAGAGTACGTGGAGGCCTACGGAGGGGAAAAGATGCTCGCAATTGGTGTCACACCCATGAATAGTCTGAAATTCAAACACATCTTCAATACCAACGCCTCTGTGAGTTCCAGTTGATTTTCTTTTAATTTCATGTGTCAAGTTGCTGCTGGAATTGTCTTTTTTATTAAAATCAGGGTTTGAATCAATTAATTAATAATGCCCCTAAGGCAATTTTTGTTGACCTTTTCTCAATAGTTAGATTTGACCTTGAACCGAAAGCATAAAACCGTGTATTAGCATTTTCTCAATTCCTTGAGCGCCTTACTATATTTCATAAATAGCTTTTGGGATGGCATTTCGATGACATACCGCGATGACAATATATTTTAAAACTGCGATGCAAATGATATGGACAAATCCCACCAAAGTGTCAAGTGATACTGATGGAGTGACAGAGTCGAAACAATGTCTTGCTAATCATTGAAAGTAGATGTATCTCTACATGCCGATTCAAGCTCAAAATGTCCTCCACCTTTTTAAAAACGGTAATCAGTTGTCGAATAGCTTTAGTAAATAGGCCAATGCGACATGGGATTCGCACGCTGTGGTGGCAACAGTGCTCATATTTACCTGATCTTGCTGACAAAATCCGCATGGCAGAACACTTTTTCACAGTAAGCATTAATTGTTTCAGGCTGCGATTCATAAATTCTTACACATAGATTTTGTTAAAGTTACGGTCATGCCAATTTTCTTTTCTGAATTCAGTAAGTGCTTTCATCTGTTAAACGAATGAAAAGTGAAATTTTGTTCTTCTGGACATCTTGTTAGACAATTTACTATCCAAGTGAAGAAGACGAGACTTTGACTGATCCTTCAATGACGTTGGTGCAAAAATACTGTGCAAAACGCTTCCACATCGATAAAAACTACAGCTACCTCGTTATGGTCTCTGCTCCATCGGATTCAGGCAAACAGAAGGACCGAAATAGCCCCACAACGAACAGCCAGACATGGATAATTACGGAGAATGAGCAAATTATCAGAACAAGAGTCGCTGTTGAACAAATGGTGATTGGTTGGCGAAATGTATGTGATTCGCCTTTAATCATTTCGGCAAAGTAACCAAACTTGCATTATCTTAGGGCGACCTTGGTTAATGCTAAGTCATCGTAATCCAAGTTAGATAACTGAACGGCTCTATTTACTTAAAAAGGTATCATGGTGGTGGTGACAGGAATGGGATTTGATCATCCATAATAATCAAGATTCGACGGAGCACTTGAGCAACAATCGTTTGAGTCACCTGGAGGGAGTTGGAGTTTTGCCCTGTTTCATCAGCGTTTACACCCCCACATATGAGACATCATGTAGCCTGGAGGTACGATTGACTAAAAGATGTAACGAGCAGGCGATTAGTTGGGAAGAAGGCGCATTAACTAAAGATTAATTGCAAGCCATCGCAAACTTTAATACAGTTTATCTGCCTCCAACGTTCAGTCAAAAGAAGGAAAATTCCACAGTTCCGTAATTGCGGCCTCTAAGTCAACACACACCACACAGCGGATGCTCTCGGACACCGTCCCGGGGCTGCCTCCAATGCGACCCAAGTTCAAAGCCACAGTTGAACCGCCTTCACCTCCACTGCCACAGACTTCAACGGTCCGTTCTACGGAAAAACTGCTCACGTCTCCTCTCGACGCCTCACCTTCAGCCCGCCAGGGGGAATGCTCCCTTAACTTCTTTGCTACGGCTGAACGACGACGCTCCATTGGAATGGTTGGCCTTAATATTGTCTTGCCATTGCAGATGCTTCTACTGCGCAAAGAGTTGACGCTAATGTGCCAAACTCCCATCGCTGCCTACTATGATGTCTACTATTTTCCACTTCCCTTGAACCTTCAAACCATGAAACGTCGATCGAACCTGATGCAATTCTAACTTGTCAGCTTCAAAACCAAGTCTAGTTCGGTTTCAAAGCAAAAGAGCTTTTATAAAATTGGTTGCAGAGCATCTGGAGATCCGTTATCCGATAGTAGAACCTGCCACTCCGAAATGACTCAAACGCTATGAACCGAGTGATGAATCCCTTAAAAACATATTGCTTTGGCAAAGTCTAGGGATATTTTAGGAATGTTTGACTTGAGTGACGAAATAACTCGTTC